ATTTTTTTTTTTAATCTCTTTTAATTAAAATCGATTGCTCGTGGATGTTGTTGGTTGACTCAGATTTCGACACTGTAGGTGATAGCCAAAACTATCGAATCACAGGTTTTTGTAGCTGTTCGCTATAAATTTTGTCGGCAAAACGCCAACTTAAATAAAACAGACTCGTTAACGGAATGTGATGGCGGACTGACTGCAGGAATTTCGAGCATGAGGATCCATTTCGTAATCATTTAAACGATATGGCCGTTTAAATAGTCATAGTCATTCAAATAGTTACGAAATGATAGATTCTGCTTGGTTTCTGCTGGCAGTCTATTGTCAGATTTTGTCATCAGGTTCTATGCGGACATCAAGTTGCTGTCATCATAATATTTTATCTCAATCCGCCAGCATAGCTGTTAGCATTTTACTGGTAATTTCTACTTTCGTGTATCTCCTACGACATGTTTTTTATATCTTCTTCATATCTTCGTATTTACATGAGATAGAGACATGGCGTGTAAAATGTATCCTTGGGATAAGCGCGAGGACAGGAACGGGCCTGATAAACTGTGATGGACAAGATTGAAGGATTCAATTTCAGAGGTCCATTAGCTTGTTTTTCTTCCTGATTTGACGAGTGCCTGTCTTACTCCAAGGACAACTCGGCCAAAAAGGTCCATTAGCAATTAGCGAAAACAATGAAACAGAAATTATTTATGATCATAACAAGAAGTCTATATCATGGAATGACAATTATTCTTATATCAATGCCGTTATTACGATAAATTTTAGCAAGGGTTCAACCCTCCCTCGAAATCAAAAAAAAAAGAATTAAAAGTTACGAAATCTAATATTTTTCTCATTCAAAATCAGAAAGGAGAGGAGATATATTCTAAATATCAGCAAAAACAGCAAAAAATTGCTAACTCCCCCCTCCCCCTCCCCCTTCGCCCCTCTGAAAAAAATCTCTGACACGTCCATGACTTTGGACGCCGGTGATTATATTAAGAATCACGCGTATGAACGATGTTAATTACAATATGTATGTTATGTCGCAGTAATGAAATGCACACAATTAAATATATATGTACGTGCGATATCAATGCGATGTCGATCGCGAGGTGTTCGCCAGCGTCGTTCGCCGCGGGATCCAACGGGATCGAAGCAACATGCGCGCGGAGAGAAGGCGCTGACGCGCGCGCGGATTCGGGTGGACGGAACACACAGCCGTGGCGGCTGGCGGCGCGGATGGCGCAAGAGAGGGCCGCCCGTAGTCGACGGGGTAGGGACGATACGTCAGCGTGTCGCGGCGCGGCTCGCTATCGTACGTAGAATCACGGACGCAAATCAAACATGGCGATTCGGTCGCTGTTTACGGTGCGAGCATACGGTTACTAGTGCCGCGGCGTTGGGTGTCAGTACGCGAGAGTGACTCTTTGACGTTGGTACGGGATCGTGCCATCGCGTATTAACGGGCGACGGTGCGTATTGCGGGTGCGGAGCCGCGCAGGGAGGAAACGACGATGAAGAAAGCGTCGGGCGGTGGCGTCGGTGATGGAGCACGCGACGACGCGAAGGGCGTAAAAGACGGGCCAACGCCTGCGACGTCATTGCCCGCGGTCGCCGAGCGGGTGCCGCGATCTACCGGCGAGAATACGGAGCAGAATGTCGATTGCTCGAAGAAGGTAGGAAGGAACGCAAGACCCCCCCCCCCTCGCCCCCGGTCGATTAATTAGTGGCGCGCGATAATATAAATATTTTAATAAATCGTCGTGTATTTCCTTTCGCTGCGTTCGATCTCGAGATATCTGTTCGCTCTTTCACCTCGCAAATCACGTCCGGCGATTCATATTTTTCTGCTTTACGTGCCGTCATTATTTTTGGCATTCCCAGAGCGAGTCGATCCCCGTCGATTCATCCCAGATTCAAAATTAAAGCCCACGTTCTGAAAGCCTCTTTTTTCGATAAAGGCTACGTTCAGAAATATTACCCGCGTATCGTTTTATCCTTGTTTAACGTTGTTTATTGAACAATAATGATAAAATGATCATTAGAGTGGTAATTACTTCCGAACGTAGCTTAAACTCGAATAATGATGTTATTTTAAGCGCTGAAATTTAAATTTCCCTCCAACACCTATATATTTCTTGAATATTAATTTATATATCTCAATTGAATACATTCAATATTTTATTTGCTTATTAAACAGCAATTAAATGTGACACGATTAATCAATTTATAATTATATTGTCATTAGTAAACAATAGTGTCTGAATGAAATAATTCAAATTAGAGAACATTTATATAACAAAGAAGGTGAATTCTTTTTATTAATTACCGATCGGTCACTAATCTAAAAAAATGAAACATAAACATATTTTCTTTTAATCACAGATTTTCAAGTCTTTATATGTATATTACATTGTAACAGTTAATAATGTAAACATTCATTCACAAATATTTATTAAAAATTAAATGGTAATCATTAACTGATTGTAAATACATGTACATGTTTAATAGAAGTGATTTGGGTTCAATACATATGATATATTATATATTATGATTGTCTTTGATGCTGCATATTTTTATAAGTAATTCTTTGCAAATATGTATTATTCGGAAAAGCATTTGAAATATTTCATCTCTAAAAAATGAAATAATTTCTTCTGCATACTGTTAAACTTTAGGAATGATTAAATTTTATCTACGTCATTATTATAAAAAAAATATTTTTCGAGTAAAATTAATAAAAAAAAATCATTATTCGTTGTTTAATTATTTTGTTTATATTTATTTTATTTTATAATATATTTATTTTATACATTTATTTTATTTTATAATCTTAAAGATTATAAGATGAAAATTAATAGCTCAGAATTATTTGAAATTAATCTTAGTCTTTTATTTCCTCAGGAAATTACATGATTCGAATATGTTATCTATTAGCTTTCATCTTAAGTTTATATTATCGAATTATCGAAATATATTTGAAAACCAATAAAATGTTTCAATATATTACATATATGTCATAAATATAGTATACTTATTTATTAAAACATGTATAAAAGTATTATTAAAGATCAACAATCTTATGGGAATTTGTGAAACTGTTGAAAATTTAAACAACGAATTTATGTTATATTTATTTTATGATTTATTATTATTCTATTTATATTATGATTTATTACATTTCTTTTTAAATGTACATATATTTACAATCTAGTAATTAAATTTAAATTGCGTTTTTTCATCATCAGTGTCATCATCAGTGTTTGACTATTCATAGAGGCGATAATTAGAAATTATAATTTTGTGGCAATATACATGATATGATATTATAGCATTATAAGTAAGAGTATTTGTTTTTTTTATTTTTTGTATAATAAAAAATCATGAATTTAACATTACGCATTATTTCATTATGTAAATAGTCAAGAATTTATATCAATAATCAATTCTATTCTTTAATTATTTCCAAACTCTTATCCAACAGATTTATAAATATAAATCGATATAATTATCGATGTAATCGTTGTTTCACTAAATTTATTTTTATATAAAATTAATGGCACATTTTTGTTCTTTTGTAGCATGCGAAGACGCTTATAAATACCTGTGGAAGATTGGAAAGCGGTAGCGGTAGCGGCGATCAGGATGGCGGCCAGCACGAAGACGGAACGGACATCGCAGCGAAAAAGAGAAAAACTCGAAGGGGTAAACCCAAGCATAGGAAACTGAAGCCATATTCGAAGCAGTTGTCCTATCAGCATCAATTGCGGAGCAGATGTATCGGCAGGATCGCTAAAACTAGTAGGCAACCTCCAGCCTTATATAACACCACGCAATTTCTTATGGCTGATCACAGCGATCTACCTGATCTCGAGCAAAAATTATCGGAAGCTGCATCACTAGAAGTACCTGCTATGTTTCAAAAGCCACCGGCACCATCGCGTACACGCGACTCCAGTTTCAGCGTAGATTCTGATGAGGACTACTTTTACTCATCTCCGGAAGATGAAGAGGAATTTTTAACGAAGGAATTTTCAACCGCGTATGAGGCAGTTCACGAAGAGAGATTGAACATGTTGACGAAAACCGAATTGATACAAGAATATAGGCACTTGGAAGCCAAAATGGATTCATTAACAAAGAGATTACGTAATAAGAGCATTCATCAAATGGAGGAAAGAGATTCGGAGAATAAAAATGTGTCTAATACAGATGCTGAAATAGCAAAGAAGTTAAAGCTGTGTCAACAGCGGATCGATGATTTGATACAACAAAACGAGCAGCTAAGACGGGAGAACGAAATGTTACGTACTGAAAAAAGATTACACGCGAGCAGCTCTGAGTCTAGTGTCGACAGTGAAAGCGATAGCGACAGTTCTAGTAATAGCAACCAAAGTGGATGTAGCTGCTCTCTTTCGAGTACAGGAACGTCTCCTAAACATACTTATAAATCTAGATTAGATAATAACATAAGAACAGATAGCAAAAGCGATAGCTGCGATACTAGCCAAAGTGGAAGTCCCAGAACATCTATAACGCCTACTAATTTCTCCAACGGTCATATAATTCTGAATGAAACTGGTAGTTTACCTACGTAGATTTCGAAATTGCTTCTCGATACATATTGATATTATGTTCGATATTATGAAATTCCAATGAGGCAGGCCGCAAATTCGATATATCGATTCAACATTTAAAAGAAGCAAATTCTTCAACAAGTTTTGTTGCGATCGAACAATATTCGATCTTCTAATACCTGTTAAATCTCGTTAGAATATCGTTTAATAATCCTATTTGCTGATTCATTCTTCTTTCCCTTGAGACTGTGTATACATACAGTCATGTGGATACATATATGTATAACAATATAAATATAGGATTAATATTCTATAGGAGAGAACTATTCTTTCGCATCTGTTTGTGCTATTTTGTTATCTGCTTGGCAAAATATTTACCATACCTATCATATATTTGCTTCTATCTCTTGTTTACCGTAGTACTGTATATGGATGGAATTTGTGTTTTTCTGGTTGCTTTTTTTTCTTTCCACGTACTGCCAATTACGAGAGTTATGTTTGCAAATGGACGGTCTACAGACCATCAACTAACGCAAACCTGTGTACATATACGCGGGTAAAGTGAAAAATACGTCTTTTCCAGACCCATCAGAGAAGTATTATCCATAAAACATAATCTTGTCAAATGTGATGACTTATATTGTAAGAGATTAAAAATCTTTGTACAATTGTATAGTTTTAGTAAGTAAGACGAAATGTTAGTTTATGGTCTGAAAATGTAAGATAAAAATGTTTTTTGCATTTTCGATTTATAATAAATTTTGTTTTCCTTCGATACATAAGTTTTAATTGTAAAGAATGTGTTTAGATAATTATTTAAAAATTTACATACGTTTAATCTTCCTGACTTTTGGAATTTCTTTTTGTATGTATATCTTTTTATTATTTTGGAGAATTTAAAAGATTTTCTTAATAAAAAGAATAGAATTGAAAGTTTTAAATTGAAGGAATTTAAACAATTTCTAGTATTGTAACTGAAATCTTAGTTTGCCTTAGTTTGCCTTTTCTCTTCTCTCAGTAAATTTTCGTTTCTATTAAGATAAATATCATGGTTCAAAATTTTTGAGAGATTTTTTTTTAATATTTATTTTTAGTGC